CAGGCATGTGCATTGAGACACAAAAAGGTGGAGCATGACCTTCCGGGGCACTCCAGCAGAAACAGGAAGAAAGCCTCAGATGGACATGCATACAACTTCCTAAACACACTGCGCATGCTCACTTCCCAAGTGTAAGGAGGGCTCTGTGCATTCGGGCAGCCTATCCTAAGGGGGAGAATCATGAGAAAGGGGCACAAAATGGCTGCCTATGAAGTCCCAGGATCAAGGTTAAACGCTACACTTGTTCTTCAATTAACCTGCTTGGATCTCTTCCAAGTGTTCTTTCTTTTCTTTCCTGTTATAAAGCCTTTTTAATAAGCTTCCACTCCTGCTCTAAAACTTGCCTTGGTCTCTTTTTCTGTTGTATGACCCTCAGTGGAATTTTCTTCTGAGGAGACAAGAACTGAGGTTGCTGCAGACCAGCAGGGATTCACTGCTGATAACTCAGATACCTTCCACCAGTTACTTGGGGATGACAGCAAGAGACAACACAGGCAAAGGAAAGTGTTTTAGGTGTGGAGTTCTGTTTTACGTGTGGAAATTGGAGTGATTGGAAAATAATTCCTAAGAGAAATGGAAAAGTCAAACTGTTGAACGGTAAATTCACCATCACATTTACCATAAAGCATGTAGAGAAATGGAAATATTTACACATCATGGTTGAGAATGCAGGATTTGCAGTCAGTTTCTGGCACTTACCAGCTTTAGAAAGTGACTTAAGCCCTCAGTTTTCACATCTATAAAATGAAGTAAATATATAAGCCTCTCAGAAGTGGGATGAGGGTTGAACGAAACAGTATGTGAGTAGTTTAACACAGAGACTGGCACTGACATAAGAAAGTATTGTGATAGAAGCAGTAGTAGAGGAAATATTTTGAATGGTTGTAAGCATGGCGATCTTTTAACCTCTTCATTCATGGCAACTCATTTAATTGCCACAACAAATATGTAAGGTAAGTACTTTTATTATTTCCATCGTCATGGTCTGAGTTGTGCTACCCTCTTCATTCCATATGCTGATGTCCTAAACCCCAGTGCCCATAATGCAACTGACTATATTTGGAGATGGGGTCTTTACATGGATAATTAAGTTAAAATTAGGTCATTAGGGTTGGCCCTAATTCAATATGGCTGGAGTCCTTATCAGGAGGTTAGGACACAGACATGCATAGAGGAAAGACCAGAAAAAAGGGTATAGGGAAAAAAAATGGTTATCTACAAGCCAAGGAAAGAGGCCTCAGAAGAAACCAACTCAACAAATTTTAAAAGATGTATTTTGGAGAACAAAACTGTTAGAAAATATTTAGAACAGGAAAAACAATTTCCTCTAGAACTGAGTTGGTCTAAAAGTGCATATCTTGGTAAGGCTCTGTGAGGAAACCACCTAATCTGGAGAGAAGTTGTTGGGACACTTGTCTGTGTGTGGCCTGTGGCTCACAAGGCTGGATATTCTCAGAAAGCACATGGGAAAATCACTGTCCTGGTGTGTCCAGGCTCTGGGAACAGGCTGTTCCTCGTGGCTTTCACACAGGTTTCCTGGTGGGCTATGCAGTCACTTTCTGCATCCTCCTTTTAAGGGTTCATGAATGTCAAAGTAACACAGACCCTGAGACAACTGGTGAGAGAAGAGGAAAGTTGTATCGGAATGTTTTCAGATTATCAACCAGACCAAACGTCACGGAATCTATAAGATCCAGGACTGGGGATAAATTTAATCTATTATTATTCTGAAGTCGGCAGCTTTGAAAAACATGCACTGAGTCAACATAGTCATTCCAACAACAAAAAAAGGGGGAAATATAATCATCTTTCCCAACCCTTAAATCGTCCAGCACTAACCAGACTCTGAGACCCTCTGCAGCAGCAGTCTATCAGTGCATTCACATCCTCTCTGAGCGGATATAACAAACCCCAGGGGTGCAGCGACCTGACCTATGAGCCCCCACACACGCTCAAGATGCCCCAGAGACTCTGCACTCCGATATTACTCGTTCCTTTACTGTTGTCATCCTAATTGCTCTCTTACACATTTTTGATCTTGGTAGTTGTATTGGTTTTCTGTTCCTACTATATAAATTACCACCCATTTAGCGGCTTAAATCAATACAAATGTATCATCTTACGGCTCTGTAGTTCAGAAAGCAACATAGGTATCACCCAGCCGAAATCAAGGTGTCGGCAGATCTGGGTTCCTTTCTTAAGGCTCCAGGGGAGAATCGATTTTCTTACCTTATGGCTCGCTTTCCTCTATCTTCAAAGGCAGCACGTTCTGTCGCTCTGACCCTACTTCTATACTCACAGCTCCCTCTACACACTGCCGGGAAAGGCTCTCCATATTTAAGGACCTGCGTGATTACATTGGACTCACCTGGATAGTCCAGGAACGGCTTCCTATCTATTAGCAGCCCTAATTGCACCTGCAGCTTTAATTCCCATCTGCCATCTAACTGAACATCCACAGCTGTTACGGGTTGCAGGGATTATTAGCACTTGGACATCTTTAAGGAACCATTCTGCCCACCACTCCGATATTCCACTAGAGGGCACTAACATATTCCTGTAATATAAACATTAAAATTCAGATAATGGTGGGAGGGAAAGTTTGATAAATTTTAACACTGTAGTATGAATTTTAAAACATGAGATATAAATATCTCTCATTGGGGTCTTTCAAAAGTTAATCATATAGTACAAGAAAATACATAAACTAGAATGACTTTCTCAGAACTGAAACGGCCTGAGTATAAGTGAAATAGAATTTGAAGTGTGGTGAGAATTCTGCAGTCTATTCCTGGGCTCAATATCACGTAGAAAAAAAAAGATTGCTTTATATTTAAAGGGACAGGGCATAGGTTCTCTTACAGGGGTTTTTAGGAAATGGTTCATCAGCTTAGTAGGTGTTCGCTTAATTACTACCTTTATCGTGACACTGTTGCCCCTGTTGGGTGGATGAGCAGTCCCTAAAAAGAGAAGGAAGAGAGCAAAGACGGAAAAAGTATGAAGGAGAGGAAGGGATGTCACGGCATAGAATGAAATGCTTCCCATTAAAATGCAAAGGTGAAGGGAGATGTTTCAGAGTGACGAGCCGTCTAGAGGGTTCTGTTTACTTTCCATTCCCAGTGTTAGGGACATAGGAGTCTGCCCTACATTAGGGAAGTAGAAAAGAATACGTTTTCAGAATTCCTAAATATGGTGGAATTGGGTAGAAAAGATCAGAGGGAAGGTTGTAGGAAGGAAGGATGGGAAAATCAAACAACTGGCTCCTACTGTAAGGTTACTGGGGCCTCAGGCTAACAGCATCATTTTAGTACCTTGGTTGACGTAGAAAAGGAAACAAGAGAGCAGAATAGCCTCATAGTCAAAGGAACAGGGAGGGAGAAGCCGCATAGATGAGGAGAGTGAATTAGCTGGTAGAGGGACAGAATATAGAATTAGCTACTTCCTACATTTTGAATTAATCTAATATGAAAAGAGATTGGGGAAAATTATAATACTCCGAAGTGTAATTATGCACTTGTTCAACTTTGGAAACACCGCAGAATATGGGGAAATCCAAGGTCCCCTAATAGTGAGCTTAGCTATGTGGATGTGAGTAAATTCTGAAAGATATTGCTATTTGGGATGGCAAGGTTCACTAAGTAACATGAAATTATTTACTTGTGGTGGGTTTTTAGAACGAAAGCTGTTTTCCCTCTGTTAACACCCAAATTCACAGCTAGGATATGGAGGATTTGCTAGGACAATGCAAACACCTGTGACTGAAGTAGAGCCAAGCTCTCTCCCTACATTTTTTTTCCAGAAAGGAGTGGTCCAGAAATAGAAAAAGAGAGAATACTCCTCCTTAGATCAGAGCTAAGGTCCTGATAGCAATCACTCCTTCCTCAATGCATGGAATGGAAGCTACTTAGAGCTGCACCTATCACTGTGAAGGGGTCTGGGGGCAAGGAACTCATCCCTGAGCTTTGATGGTAGCCCTAAAAACTGGGAGGGGGCCCCTTCTTGTCTGGAGATGACAATGATTTGGCAAAACAATGATGGGCTCTGTGAGACTCTACCTGTGGTAGGAAACAATCGAGAAGAAAGGGGTAGCCTCCTTCCATTCCACCATCCAGGAATACATTGGTTCCTACAACGTACAAGAAGGATTCAAAGGTATACCAGTGTCAAAAATCACAATGAGGACTGTAAATACATGCAATTTTTATTCATCAACTATTTAAAACATTCAGAAAAGCTCAAAGGTGTTCAAGGAGGAAGACATTCTGGGGAAACCTAGGAAAGTCACCTCAATGCAGGAAGAACATACCTAGGCAGAAAAGAGAGCAGTACCAGCAGCTGCTGGAAGAGCTAAGAGAAGCTTGACACTCCTGGCCCCAAACACTGCCTGGCTACAACACAATATCCACGGACAGACACCTTCCATGTGCAGCAAGCTGTGGCGTGGCAAGAAAGCAAACACATACCAAAAGCAGGCAGGAAGCAGAGCTGGCTGGTGAGACTCTGAGGTTGTTGCAGGAAGCAGATGTTACCTCTGCCTTTCACCAGCTTCTTCTGGGGAAAAGAAGATGCTCCAGATGCCGTCCTTGGTGGAAACAGCTGCTAGCTCTAGCAATGATGACTAAGCCAATTTTGCTAAACAGCAAAGAAGCTGTGTGTCTTGGATTTTAAACAGCATATAGACTAGCAAAATAATCTCTGATGTGAATCTGAGATTTTACACCTTAGACTCTTTTAAAAGGTAGTGACTAAAAATATGTACCAGTAGATAAATGAAGTCATGGATATACTTGGAATTTTTTCTGCCAGAGTAGAAATGACTTCAAAAAATATCATAATGCAACTTTCATGTAATCCCAGCTATTGGGGAGGCTGAGGCAGGAGTATTGCTTGAATCCGGGAGGTGGAGGTTGCAGTGAACTAAGATCATGCCACCACACTCCAGCCTGGGTGACAGAGTGAGACTCTGTCTCAAAAAAATAAACAAGAAGAAAATGCAGCTTTCAATAGCATAAGCTTTATGTTCTCACACTTCTAAGTGATAATCAAATGTGTTATACCACTTTATACCCTGAGATCCAAAATACATAAATATTTGACAATTTGTACAAGACTGTATTAATAAGAAAATGTAGCACATGTATAAAGAGAAGCAGCCTCACACAGATTAAGGAAAATGACATTGATCACAAATGTCCTCAGCCTGGGTTGGCTGTGTTGCCTTTGTACACTTCAGTCCTCTGAGCTGAAGTGGGAGTGGTTTCTCTCCTAAAAATGTTTCTGAGGCCCAAATAGCTGAAGAGGTGGAGACATTACAGAAACCAACTGGAGCCCCCAGAACTGGCAGACACCTGCCTGATGCTGCCATGGGACCCCAGCTCCTTGGCTATGTGGTCCTTTGTCTTCTAGGAGCAGGTGAGTCCCAGAACACGTGGGCAACTTTTGGCCTTATTTGTAGGCCTCAACCCAAGGTGTCTCCTAAAGGCTTCAGCATTGGAGATCCCCCTCAGCTCTGCCTCTAACTCTGTCCCCTTCCTTTACAGGGCCCTTGGAAGCCCAAGTGACCCAGAAGCCAAGATACTTCATCACAATGACGGGAAAGAAGTTGACAGTGACTTGTTCTCAGAATATGAACCATGATTATATGTCCTGGTATAGACAAGACCCAGGGCTGGGCCTAAGGCAGATCTACTATTCAATTAACGTTGAGGTGGTTGATAAGGGAGATATTCCTGAAGGGTACAATGTCTCTCGAAAAGAGAAGACGAATTTCCCCCTGATCCTGGAGTCGCCCAGCCCCAGCCAGACCTCTCTGTACCTCTGTGCCAGTAGTGTATCCACAGTGCTGCACAGCCAGCTGCTCTCTGCACAAAAACAGAGGGTAGTAGCTGCAAGAACAAGGAGACTCCTCCTTCAGGAGACCCCTTGCCGACCAACAGGATAAACTTCCTCCGTCATCCCACAGAAGCCCTTCCCCACACCCCAGCCTCAGGGACTCTGCAATGCAGCCGCTCTGTGGAACCAGGGGTCCATCCTCTACCTGCTGTACCAATGAGGTTTCAAAGTTGGGCAGGACAAGCTGAGTTAGCTGTACTGCCAGGGTACTCTCCAATCCTTTCTTCTTGTGGAGCTTAAATCTTTAAATTCAACTAAGCTGTTGCCCAAAATGAAGACTCCATTTACAATCTAATGGGTCTCAACAATATTTGGTCCTGTATAGGTCCTGAACAGGACCTCCAGGTCCTATTCCGGAGATTTTGTCACTTGGAGGAACACCATGTTTGGAGTTATTGATGAAACCCGACACCTCCTATTTTCTTCCTCTCAGCAGATGGTCCAAATGCCCAAGTCAGAGATGCAAGACTGAGCTTCACTGTCTCTCTGACTTTCCCCTTCCACACCGAATCCACCACCCCATCCTGCATTCTTCTGAGTACTAAATTCCTCACAAATTTTACTAACTTCACTGATCTCACCTGGATCCCTCTAGCCACCTTCCCAGTAGCCACCCGACCTGCAAACCTGCGACCTACCCCCACCCACAATCACTCCCTCAAGCTAACCCTTTGGCTTTTTTCTATTAACTAGCTAAAGTCTCAAGTTCATGTTAGTTTGCAAGTCTCTCAGCCCCTCCATGATGTGACCTTTGCAAATCAGCCCACCTTTCTAACGCTGACTTCCCGTATCCTTCAACTACCACAACTGCCTGCATCTACTCCAGAAATATCCCACTTCTCACAGGTCCACAAATATGTCCACTGCTGACTCACTCCTGGGTCTTCATCTACAATGGTCACTCTACCCAGAATACCATATCCCTCTGGTATTCATCTGTTTTTACAGCTGCTCTTTTTGTGCAGACTGCAGCTGACTGTGCAATGCTGTGAATAAACTGCTGGCGCAAACGTACAGAGAGGTCTGGACTGGGTGACTCGAGGATCGGGGACCAATTCATAGACCAATTTAGAAGTCACTTCCTCTAGCACGATTTCCTTGAATCACTGACTGGGTTATTTCTCTCCCGTGTGTTCTTCTAACAGCCAGAGCTAACACCAACACTGAGACACCACCATGAACTCACCAGCCGTTGACTTCTCTGTTCTATAGCTTTTTGCCTCTTTGGAATAGGTAGGTCATGGGTACAGGTATGATGTCCTTGAACTTGGTTTGCTAGACCCTACATTAAGCCTTTCTCTGGTGGTTATACATCAGTATATTTCCTAAGTTCTCTCTTTTTAGCCACAATGTCCATGAATGCTGGTGTCACTGAAATTTCAGTTTATCAAGTTTCACAGTCAGAAAAGAAAGTACTATAATACAATCAGAATATGTTTTATGATCCATATGTGCTGAGCCAGACAAGAGCCGGGAATGAAGCTCCAACTAATCTATTTCTCAGTTGGTGCTTAGAGTACAAACAAATAGAAAGTCTCTAATAGACCTGTGTCTCTTGAGATAAGACTGAGCATTTCTTTTTCTTTTTCTTTTTTTTTTTTTTATATACTTTAAGTTCTATTTCTTGCAGTCTACAGACATCCAGCTCTTCGCAGACACAGCCAGCCGTTAACCCGAAGCACTGCACAGCCACTTCCTCTCTGCACAGAAAAGGCTGTCACAGGGGAGAGGTGGTCTTACCTTCCAGAGCCTGCCCTTACCAGAGGAAGCCACTCCTACCACAGAAACACTTAGGGGCCTTTCCCAGCTCTTTGCACTGAGACTTATGGAGCTCTGAGGGCCCCAGTCTGTAAAAGTCCATCCCTGGCCTGGCGCAGTTGCTCACACCTGTAATCCCAGCACTTTGGGAGGCTGAGGTGGGTGGATCACGAGGTCAGGAGTTCGAGATCAGCCTGGCCAACATTGTGAAACCCTGTCTCTACTAAAGATACAAAAAATTAGTCAGGCATGATGGTGCACACCTGTAGTCCCAGCTACTTGGGAGACTGAGGCAGGAGAATCGCTTGAACCCAGGAGGTGGAGGTTGCAGTGAGCCAAGATTGCACCACTGTACTCCATTCTGGGCGACAGGATGAGACTCCGTCTCAAAAAAAAAAAAAAATCTATCCCCAGATCACGGTGCACCTGTGAGATGGAGTTGTCAATGTCCTCCTTCCCTTCCTTCTCATTTGCTGTTTCAATAGGGCTTCCTCAGCCTGGGCTCCTTATTGGAATTGACCTGCATCAATCCAGTGCCCCCTCACACCACCTACTAGAGAAGGCTGCATTCTACATTATGGTCTTCAGGGATCCTCTCTAGGGCCCCACATGCTTCCCTTTTTGTTTACCTGTGTCTCAGGGGACAATTTTAATCTTAGTCTTATACTTTTCATTTAAGCAGGTTAGGCTACACCATGCACTTACAGATTTTGCCAATAGAAGCTTTGAGACTTCACATCTTGTAAAATAAAAAAAAAAAATTGTACTAAAGATAAGAATGTTTATGGATGTAAAGTTCTTCATGTAAGCAAATAGTCTGGTGAAACTGAAGTTCAAAGGTGTTTGTGTGGGGTAGCTGCGTCAGTATGCTTGATTTATGGTAAGGCCAAGTCTGTTGGATTAGACATTAGATATTAACAGTAATGTCAAAACTAAGGAATATAGTCTGAATAATTATGATAACTATTTTATATTATTGCAAACAACTTAAAAACTATTATATGACTATGATTGATTCATACTATGCATGGATACAGTTTCAAAACCTATTTAGACCTTTAGAAAGTTTTAATGAATAATGCTAGCAAAATAACCACAAGTAAAGTGTTACTGGAAAATGCAGTATAAGCATCACACTGACAGTTGTAGCTGACCCTTTTGTTTTGATCAGTGGTTCTCGATGTGTACCAAAATTACTTGGTGAGATTTCTTTTTATTGTGGGAATAACACTTAGCATGAAATCTAACCTTTAAACAAAATCAATGTTCAATATGATATTGTTAACTATAGGGACAATGTTGTATAGCAGATTTCTAGAACATAATTATCTTGTATAATGGAAACTTTACACCAATTGAATGGCAACTCAGCACTTCCTTCTCCCATTTTCCTGGCAATTATCATTCTGCTCTCTGCTTCTCTGTGTTTGACATAATGCTAAGTGAAATAAGCCAGTCCCAGAAGGATAAATGTTGCATTGAAGGAGTCTTTTATCACCAAACTATTTAGAATCCCTGGCACTCGGTGATAATAAAAGCAAAACCATTTCACTTGGGTTTTATGATTGTTTTAAAATGCTTTGCATCCTTTATCGCTTGCACCTGGGGCTGAACGCATCTACCACCCCATTATTGGGTGGTAGATGTGAAGGGCACCACCTTCTCCCCAACCCCATCAGGTAAACCTACACATGTGAGCACTCACATGAACCTACACATGTGGATTTGAACCAGGTTCAAACCCAAGCAACATAGTTCCAAAGCCTGCCCTGTTAACCAATATGCTACTTGTAGTAATTATTAAGTATATTGTATGAGAAACTAAGACTGCTCTCAATAAAATATATTTTGAGAGTGAGGGGAGAGAGAGAGACCAAGAGAGACAGACAGACAGAGAGAGAGAGAGAAAGAGAGGCACAGAGAGAGAGAGAATGGTAAGGCTGGTCAGGAGAAAAATTACCTTCACTTTCAAAGACTGATACTCACCAGAAGAACTCATTGGACCTTGTGCTTGTACTCATAGCAAAGATGTATCACAAAGATGTAGTAAGAATACCATGATAACAAGGAACAAAGACATGGTGGAGTTTGGAGAAATCCACATGAGACTTCTTATGTTCTCTTCTTCCGCGAGAGAGCACACTCTCACCCCAACAGTGACAATGCAGCAACGTAAGAACAACCTTTCCTCCCAGGGAAGCTCATTAGAGATTCAGCACCTCCAATACTTTTGGTGGCTGGTGTTAGGTGCTGAATTGTGTCATTAAACATTCATATGTTGAAATCCCAGCCTCCAGTACTTAAGAATATGACTATGTTTGGAGATAAGGATTTTACAGAGGTGGTTAAGGTTAAATGAGGTCCTCACTAATACGACTAGGATCCTTATAAGAGGAAATTAGGACACAAACATGCATAGAGGGAAGACAATGTGCAGACACAGGGGGAAGCCATCTACAAGCCAAGGAGAGAGGCTCCACGAGAAACCAACTCTGCTGACACCCCAATCTTGGATGTCTGGTCTCCAGAAGTGTGAGAAAACACATTTCTGTTGTTTAAAATGTGGTGACTTACGGCAGCCCTCGCAAAATAATTCAGCTGATCACATTGGCACCCTCTGCCTATCGTGCAGCAGAATTCCAGACTTGCAGTAAAGCAGGTGTTCAGCCTAACCCACATGGTTTGTGCAAGCAGTCTAGGCACACTAAGCCATGCGTACCAGTTACTGATGGTGGGAAAACTCCCAAAATTCAAGTTCGCAGATGCAAATCAAGAGCCAACCGTGCAAGCAGGCCCTTCTAAGGATGGCACTCTCAGGCCCACTGTGTCAACTCTTTTCTATATGTGCACACACACACAGTGACACACAGTGACACTTCCGTGAGCACAAGGGGTGCCCTTCACTCTCTAGCACCTCTAGGCCCTTTCTAGTCTAGACAATGGCTGAGGAATTATGAGTGTGGGCCGGGACAATGACATCACAAACCGTCAACCCACAGCCTAGTCCTGGGAGAAGACCTATTATTTCTTCAAAGCAGCCATGGGAACCAGGCTCCTCTGTTATGTGGCCTTTTGTTTCCTGGCTGTAGGTGAGTCCTGGGAGTCACTGGGTCTGGGGAGTTGGTGGCAACTCCTGTCCTACTATTTCGAGGTCTTGTATATAAAGCTTTTCTCTCCTCAGGTTCCCTGGTGGCCTGTTTTTTTCACCCTTGCTTTCTGCCTCTCACAGGCCTCGTGGATGTGAAAGTAACCCAGAGCTCAAGGTATCTAATCAAAAGGACGGGAGAGAAAGTTTTTCTGGAATGTGTCCAGGATATGGACCATGAAAGAATGTTCTGGTATCGACAAGACCCAGGTCTGGGGCTACGGCTGATCTATTTCTCATATGATGTTAAACTGAACGAAAAAGGAGACATTCCTGAGGGGTACAATGTCTCTAGAGAGAAGAAGGAGCACTTCTCCCTGATTCTGGGGTCCGCCAGCACCAACCAGACATCTATGTACCTCTGTGCCAGCAGTTTATCCACAGCACAGCACAGCCACATACTCTCTGCACAAAAAGAGCAGATATAAGAGAGAAGAGGCCCTAACTCAGGGCAGGTGCTGACGCCAATGGCACATTTGTGCTAAATAGAAAAAAGTGGCCGCTAAGGAGAAATTAGCTCCATAAGCATAGTTCTTTGCAAGGAGAGAATGAGGTATTATTTTTCACCCCTATACAAGACAGGGACTGTTCTGGATTTAATCCCCCCAGTCTAACGTGTTGTAAATTCACAAGTCCCAACAAGGAGGAGAAGTCTTCTCGCATATTCACACCGTAGCCCTGTTCTACCATTTCATTAATTTTACCTGCCCTTTTCTAGCCTTGTCTCTCGTACTGTGACTTTCTGCTTTGCTTAGTATTTTGTTCTTGGTTGATATTTCACTACCACTAAGTGATATTTCACTTAGTAATTTCCACTTAGTAATTTGTTCTTGGTTGAATTTAACATATTCTAAATTCTTTAGATGATTTTTACTGTCCATGTGCTGATTCAAGAGAAAGTTTGTGGAATTTCAATTCTGTTCATTCAAGTTTGAAAGAGAAAAACTCTGATTAAAACAAATCTTATTCCAGGTTCTCTGATCAATCTCATTTTGCTGGAAAAAAATTCTGATCACAGAAGGTTTAAACTATGCTGCAGAAGGTGGTAGGAATTTGGCTATAACTGCACTCATACTCTTCTGGAAAAAGTGTGTATTTGTTTTGAAGAATAAAACACAAGCTCTTCTGTCAGTAAAAATTAACAGTGCTTTGGAAATACAAATAAATGTAAAGGGTATTAGAAATCCCAAACTGCAGAGCACTTGCACAATTATTATTGGCAAGACAAAACAGGCATCTGAAAACATATTTTGATTCAGTGCTAAACTTTTGTGTGGAAGAAGTCAGAGAAAAAAATATAATCAATGTGTATTACAGTATTCAAGATTAAGTTTGTATGAGATAGGACTTGAGCTGATTTTGAATACAAGTAAATGAGGGAAGAGAAACTATCAAAAGAAAGAAATACCCTGCAAATGTTTCTGTGAGAGATTCTACCGGAATGAAGAGGAAGATTCTTTCCCTGAGGAAAGGCAGGAATCACATTTCTCCTGGCTGAGGTCAACATCCAGAACAGAGAAAGCACATCTTCCCAGAATATCATTAAAATCCTTTCCCTTTTGCCCCGAGAATACACTGTAGCGGTGCTTGCTACTACAGCATTTCCCCCGAGATAACACACAAGGTTTGATACAAGAAATTCTTTTGCCACCTTCTAAACATTACAGTGCTTAACTCCTACATCCTGTTTGAGAAGGAGCATTCTGAGCACACGATTAGCTATAGAAACTTCAGACTGACGTTGATTAAAAGGGTGCTGAAAAACCATCACAAGCCAGGGCAGCAACGTCTCTGAAGTCGTCCATGGTCTGATGATGTCACACCTCCTCCTCTTCACCTGACTGGAAGACATTTTCCCAAGAGCATTACCACCAACATCAAAGAAAAAAAACCCAACTGGTCACTGCAACTTTTGCTGCTCACACAACGACGAGGATGGCAAGATGGCAAGATCTGTAGAGAATGGCAATATTTTTCTGTGGAATGTGATGTTCCACTTTCTGTTGTTCTGTGCTTTGAAATTTTCCCATGCAAAAAAAATTATCGAATACTGATTATTATATACATTTCTGTGACGTTAGACTTAGAGGCAAGTTCTGTTTAGAAATAATTCCAAGAACAGTTTTTATATTTTATTTTCATGTTGATAATCAGTTAGATTTGCTTCAGCCTCAAAGAGCGTGTTTATGTCAAATTAAATGAATGCTGGCAGGGAGCTGCACTTTTTTTTACTAAACAGGAAAAGAGTTAAATAACAGAACACTGTATCTACAAACTTTCATATTTAGTGAACCTTCAGGGTTTCTGAGAGTCCTACATTTTCCCACAGATTATTTATTTCTTATAGCAAGTATTGTCCAGACTCAGAAGATCAACTGCAAGAGATGGGAACAGGTACCAGCACTGTGCATCCATTCCCAGGGCTATGTGGGACCATTTCCATCACAGGGGTCATCACCTCAACTGAGTCCCTGGTAGAAAGAGTGCTATGCTAGACTCAGCTTCCCTTCTCGCATGCTTACCACCTGCTCCCTCCAACACAGCCTCACCTTGCTAAGAAAATGCAGCCCAGGGAGAGAGGAAGAACACATAAAAAATGAAAATGGAAATAGGCAGAGATGGCATGTCAAACATCAAAGTGAGTAAGAGAAGACATCTAAAGAGGGCAAAAGCATTGTAGATTGGAATAGGTGGTTTGAATTTAGAAAAACGAATGAAAAAGTGTTCACTAGGGGGAGTTCACAGTTTAGAGAATAGACTTTTTTTTTTTTTTTTTTTTTTTTTTGAATTGGGGGCTCGCTGTGTTGCTGAGGCTGGAGTGCAGTTGCACAATCTTGGCTAATCGCAACCTCCTCCTCCCAGGTTCAAGTGATTCTCCTGCTTCAGCCTCCCGAGTAGCTGGGATTACAGGTGCACGCCACTATGCCTGGCTAATTTTTGTTGTTTTTAGTAGAGATGGAGTTTCACTATGTTGGTCAGGCCAGTCTCAAACGCGTGACCTCGTGATCCACCCACTTTGGCCTCCCGAAGTGCTGGGATTACAGGCATAAGCCACCGTGCCCGGCCCACAGAATCGACTTTTAAAAGCACATAAAAGATCATGGATGTTTACCATGAGGGTACAGAGAATAATTAAGAAGATGTAAACCATTATTTCACCAAACATACATTAACATACATCACATTAGGAGACCAACAAATTCACAGAACATAAAAATTGATACTCTAAATCTCCAAGTAAGCAATGTTTGTTTGTTTGTTTGTTTGTTTAGTTTTACTTTAAGTTAGGGGACAGATGCACAGAATGTGCAGGTTTTTTACATAGGTATAACATGTGCCATGGTGGTTTGCTGCATCTATCAACCTGTCATCTAGGTTTTAAGCCCTGTAAGCATTAGCTGCTGGTCTTGATGCTCTCCCTCCCCTGGTCCCCCACCCCAACAGGCCCTTCTGTGTGTTGTTCCCATCCCTGTGTCCATGAGTTCTCACTGTTAAATACTGTTAAAATACTGCATGAGAACATGCGGTATTTGATTTTCTGTTCCTGTGTTAGTTTGCTGAGGATGATGGCTTCCAGCTTCATCCATATCCCTGGAAAGGACATGATCTCATTCCTTTTTATGGCTGCATAGTGTTCCATGGTGTATACGTGCCACATTTTCTTTATCCAGTCTATCATTGATGGGCATTTGGGTTGGTTCTATGTCTTTTAAGTAATGTTTTAAATTATGTGATTTGGGAAAATATAACTAAATAAATTAATTTTTGTTGAATGGTAGTATTAACAGGGCTCTTTGCTGGGACATGGCTGGGAAGAAGTCTGGCCTCTTCCTGCAGGGAACAAGGAAAATTTAGAGAAGGAAGCAATTTTTTTTCTCTAGAGACTGCTGCGATATCACGGGTAGTTTATACATATAATATACAACAACCCTGACATACGGGTATTATTTTCTCCTAACTAAAAATAAATTTAAATAAGTGAAGTGTAATTAAACCTAAATTTAAATGACTTGCCTATAGCCACATAGCTGAAAAGTTAGTGGAAAAGGCATGTTTCTATATATTTTTTTAAATAATAAGATAATTGAAACCAAGATAGGCATATTTCCATCCTCAGCTGAATGGGTTCTAAACCCAACCATTAGGGCAAAGATGTAATCCACACAGCCAGAGAACGGGACCTTCTAACTTCATACCAGCAGGATAGCCATAGCACCAAAGACATTTTTCATGTCTTAGCACAAACTTCTAACACCTCCATTTTGAAGTAGAAGGATAAAGGCTTAAGAGCAGAAACTGGGTCTTATTAGTGGTGGACAAGTGGACATAGTCATATTAATTGTAAGTGTTTTACAACATTCTTTGATACTCACTATTAAACCAGCTGTAGATGCATTGTATCATTTATTCCCCATGTTACCATCATATCATAAGATTAACATTGACAACTTTGAAAACTTGTTGCTAAAATTAAATTATCTCAATTTTCCAGTATCCTCCTAATTGACCTAGCCAATTTTGTATGGCTTGAAAAATTGGGAAATGTGTTCTCATCTGTGCTAGATCTTCTTCAATTAATTTCAATTCATTAAAACAGAAATAGCAAGAAACTAACAGTCAAAGGGGTTTCTTCATCCCATCATTCACTACAAAAGGCAGTGACAAGCATCTAGATATAACATAGATCTCTTCTGCCCTCTGTTGAGGGCATCAGAACTGGCTCAGTTCACTCAGATATCAGTGGCAGAAAGTTGAGGGAGATTTCCTGTATGCTCAAACTTTTGGTAGAATAAACTGGTACCTGTTCTATCCAATGGATGCTGTCTTATTTAACCTGGGACCCTGAAGGGGTACTATTCACTAATGAAAACATTAAAAAGCAAGCCACAAGATATCTTTAAAGAAAGAGAAAATGTAATGAGGGGTGTATAATCATTACATAATGTATCAGTCTGTTTTCACACTGATGATAAAGACATACCTGAGACTGGGAAGAAAGAGAGGTTTAATTGGACTTAACAGTTCCACATGGCTGAGGAGGGCTCAGAATCATGGCAGGAGGTGAAAGGCACTTCTTACATGGTGGCAGCAAGAGAAAAATGAGAAAGAAGCAAAAGCGGAAACCTCTGATAAACCCTTCATATCTCATTAGACTTATTCACTATCATGAGAATAGTATGGGAAAGGCTGGCCCTCATGATTCAGTTACCTCCCTCTGGGTGTTGTAACTCCTACAACACGTGGTAATTCTGGGCGATACAATTCAAGTAGAGATTTGAGTGAGGACACAGTCAAACCATATCATTCTGCCCCTGGCCCCTCCAAATCTGATGTCCTCACATTTCAAAACCAATCATGCCTTCCCAACAGTCTCCCGAATTCTTAATTCATTTCAGCAATTACCCAAAAGTCCACAGTCCAAAGTCTCATCTGAGACAAGGCAAGTCCCTTACACCTATGAGCCTGTAAAATCAAAAACAAGCTAGTTACTTCCTAGATACAATGGGAGTACAGGGATCAGGTAAATACAGCCATCCCAAATGGGAGAAATGTCAAAAACAAAGGAGTTATAGTTCCTATGAAAGTCTGAAATCCAGTGGGGCAGGCAAATTTTAAAGCTCTAAAATGATCTCCTTTGACTCCAGGTCTGACATCCAGGACACGCTGGTTTAAGAGGGGGGGTTCCCATGGTCTTGGGCAGCTCCACTCGTGTGGCTTTCCAGGGTACAACCTCCCTCCTGGTTGCTTTCATGGGCTGGCATTGAGAGTCTGTGGCTTTTCCAGGTACATGGTGCAAGCTGTCAGTGGATCTACCATTCTGGGATCTGGAGAACAGTGACCCTCTTCCCACAGCTCCACTAGGCAGTACCCCAGTGGGGGCTCCAACCCCACATTTCCCTTCTGCGCTGCCCTAGCAGAGGTTCTCTATGAGAGCCCCATCCCTGCAGCAAACTTTTGCCTGGGCATCCATGCATTTCCATACATCTTCTGAAATATAGGCGGAGGTTCCCAAACCTCAATTCTTGACTTCTGTGCACTCACAGGCTCAACATCATATTAAAGATGCCAAGGCTTCCACCCTCCGAAGCTATAGCCGGTGCTCTATGTTGGCCCCTTTCATACAGGCTGGAGCAGCTGGGACACAGGGCACCAAGTCCCTAGGCTGCACATGGCATGGGGAGGCTGGGACCCACCCATGAAACCATTTTTTCCTCTTGGACCTCTGGGCCTGTAATGGGAAGGGCTGCCATGAAGGTCTCTGACATGGCCTGGAGACATTTTCCCCATGGTCTTGGGGATTAACATTAGGCTCCTTGCGACTTATGCAAATTTCTGCAGTTGACTTGTATTTCTCCTCAGAAAATCAGTTTTTCTTTTCTACTGCATCATCAGGTTGCAAATTTTCTGAACTTTTATGTTGTTTCCCTTTTAAAATTGAATGCTTTTAATAGCACCCAAGTCACCTTTTGAATGCTTTGCTGCTTAGAAATTTCTTCTGCTAGATACCCTAAATCATCCCTCTCAAGTTCAAAGTTCCATAAATCTCTAGGGTGGGGACAAAATGCTACCTGTCTCTTTGCTAAAACATAACAGGAGTCACCTTTGCCTCAGTTCCCAACAACTTCCTCATCTCCATCTGAAACCACCTCAGCCTGGACCTTATTGTTCATATCCATATCCCTATCAGCATTTTTGTCAAAGCCACTCAACAAGTCTCTAGGAGGTTCCAAACTTTCCCACATTTTCCTGCTTCTTCTGAGTCCTCCAAACTGTTCCAACTTCTGCCTGTTACCCAGTTCCAAAGCTGCTGCCACATTTTTGGGTATCTTTTCAGCAACACTGCATTCTACTGGTACCAATTTACTGTATTAGTCCATTTTCACGTTGTTGATAAAGACATACCTGTCACGGGGAAGAAAAAGAAATTTAATTGGACTTACAGATCCACATGGCTGGGGTGGCCTCAGAATCATGACAGGAGGTAAAAGGCACTTCTTTCATGGTGGCAGCAAGACAAAAATGGGAAAGAAGCAAAAGTGGAAACCCCCAATAAACCCATCCGATCTCGTGAGACTTACTATCACGGGAATAGCACAGGAAAGACCAGCCCCCATGATTCAATTACCTCCCCCTGGGTCCCTCCCACAACCCTTGGGAAATCTGGGAGATATAATTCAAGTTGAGATTTGGATGGGGACACAGCCAAACCATATCACATAGTATATACTGAAAATGTATAGTCAAGTATCTTGGATAAGATACATATTGCCAGATACCACACAGTTACCTACCTAAGAAAAGAAGTCAATAATTACAGTCTATTAACGGTCACATTAGACAGACAAATACTTACATGGTAATGCCAGAGCCCATGGTTTGAGATGCTCTGAAATGTGATGGTTCTCATACATCACATTCTTGTCTAAAAATAATAGATAAGTGTTCAGAAGACCTTGCCCTCAATGAGCTCATATTACTTCTTAATTATTGCCATTCTGCTTTACAAATGCTCAAGAATCTATATATTTAATATTCAGTTATGAATATATTTTATGTATGTGTAGGGTGGTAGGGTAAGAAGAGGGCTGATGTTAAATTTACTAACTTACAGTTTCTAGGTGTAGAACTATTGCTTGCCCATATCTGAACATTAAAGTTATATTTGTCTTTCTTTGAATTTCGATTATATGTTTTTCCATTTTATTTATT